AGAGAATGAACTCACTGCAGATGGGAACTGTAATAAAAATCATCATAAAAATCAGACCCCTGAAAGTCTCCTTGGGTTCAGCTGCAGAATGCAGGAGATTTCTCGTAAAAGCACTTGACACTTYAATGTGACTATGTGTTGCATGGGAAAAGGGGGATATCACTTGTGAAGAGTTAATGTTTTGGACCTGTTCCTCATCCAGCTAAACCCAATGCTGCATTTTCAGCCACAAAGCTGCAGACCCCGTGGATTAACTGCAGCTGGGTAAGCCTTTTAGATTGTCAAATGTCAGATGAAAAAACACCAGGGCAGCTGAGGATGAATAAGTGTTAAACCTTGTTTGGATGGCGTGTCCTCAAGTAATCAGGGAGTGCCAAACACAGAGCTTCCCATGTTCTTTCAGGATGAGCTGAGGTGCCAAGTGTGCAGAATTGGAAACTGTCTGTGAGGGCTTTTTCCTTTGCTTGATGTTGTGCAGACAGCAGAGACAAAATACCAAAAATGCTTGAAATCCTTGTGACCTTTCATTGCAAGCTGTGAACTTTGTCCACTAACCTCAGGTTTCTATTTACACTGTCGGCAGAGACTCCTTGCTCTGTTGCCTTTTCTTTCCCCTTCCAGTTTATCGTGTATCGAGAGTCAGCTCCACAAATGCCGCCCGGGAGGGGGGACCTGAGCACATTCCAGGCCCACTGCACACTCACAAGGCTGAGTCCCCATGTTGTGGGCTGCTGAAAAACACCCCTAATGCAAGCGGAGAGGCCTGAGCTTTGCTGTTTGTGCACAAAGCAAGTGTTCTGCAGCCACGGGCTGCCGGGGCGCTCGCTCCCACACCGCGCGCCAGCACCACGTGCCTGCGGAGCTGCCCCGTTTGCACCGTCTCCCATTTACACCAGCAATATCCGCAGGCCACCATGAGTAAACAGCCTCAAAACGCATTTGGTAAATACTGGGTCAGCTTCTCAGCTAAAATATCCCTGATTTTAGCGCTGTKTTCTGCTATTCACCTGCCCTTTGTCCGTCACGAGCTGGCCGGAACAAGTACAGGGCACATTGCAGGTGTATGAGCCAGAAATTGTTCCTATGGCAGATTGCTATGAATTGTGATGTTGCACACTTTTGGCACAGGATATCCTAGTTTAAGCGGGATAAAAATATCCCTAAACTTGGCTTTTCAAGCAAACGCCAACAACTTTATTGAATTCCTTTGAAAGTAAACAGGAGGTTGAACTATATAAGAATTTGCTGGATGGTGACTGATTTACTAACCTGATACATTCATGAACTATCATTATCAGTTGGGCAATTCTTGACTGTATCTCAAATTTGACATCATTCTCCAATAGCAAACCCTGAATTTTACATGACAAAGACCTCAATGAAGGTCCTGAACTCTTTATGGTGTAGAGAATGGTATAGCAAAGCAGCATTTCCTGAGAGACTGCTGCAAAGTAAATACCCCGATGTTTCCTAAAGAAACCCAGCAATTCCATAACGAAAGATTACTTTGATAAATTAGACCCGTAGGGATTTTTGGAGGAGACTGTTCACTTCATACTAGTTTTCTTTGGACATAGAAGCTGTGGAAAAGTGGGTGGAAGACATTAGCAAAGTGATGACTGCAGCAACGTACACTGTACATTGCTGTTACTGAATTATCCGTCAACAAACTCCACCTTTCAGAGCTTCCCAAGACCCCCTTGCCTGTGCTACACAAATAGTAGGATTTATGCTTAATGAAAAACCCATAACAATACTCCTGTTTCGTGCAACAATTTCCCAAATCAGGCAGACATGTCGCTTAGGTCTTCCTTGAACTTCCTGCTATCGTGTGTAAAGATCTGCTGCCCATTTTAGAAAATCTGTCTGTTCAGCCTAAGGAACTCATGAAGGCAAATCTATCTTCTTCCCTTTTAGTATTTTACAGCTTTCTGTGTCAATTACTGCTACCAAAACCCCAAACAATCCCCTCTTCCTCAAAACACAAACCAACCCAACCATTTGGTTTACTCACAGTAATGCTTGGCTTGGTTAAACAAGCCACATTCAGCAACAGGAAAGTGAATTTCTGAGCTACTGAAAAGCACTGCTACATTTGGAAAGGATTTTTCTTTTTGTAATTTCCCTTTAATTTCCTCCCATCCAGAACTGCTGAGAGGAATCTAAGGAAGTTTTGCAAGAGTGGCTAAAGGAGTTAGGCAACTGCTCCCATTCAAAATCAAGCAACGGATAAATGTAAGATAAGGTAGTTCTATAAAGACATAAGTGACTTGAGGCTTAAGTTCCATTAAAAATCACCTAATCCTTTCATCTTTCCTGTCAGAGAAGGAAAAGGAAGGCGAGCAAACTAATCCCTATTATCAGAGAAGCAAGGATTGAATGGAGGGGCATAAAGCATGGGAGGATGTGGAAGAAACTGAGGACAACTGTGCTGGTGAAGTTTGTAAACTGACAGGTATAAAGTGGAGTTCAACAGGAGAAAAAAGGGAGAGAAAGAGTATGAGACTATATAAATTGAAATATTACTTTCAGACACTTAAGTTTTCTTTTGATTTTATGATAAGACCTCAATAAAATTGTTGTATCGCCTCACTGAGCCCCTATGAATTCAGCACAATAATTTGTTTCACTCTGTTGATCGGCTTAGTGTGTCTGAAGTTAAACTCTTCATCCTTTCTGAATAGTTCTCTCTTTGTTCGTTTCAATTGTCTTTTTTCAATCTAAAAATATTATTAAAATACCACATTCGGGGGGGTTGTGGCGGCCATGACACTGGAATAAAGTGCAGAAAAGCCAAAGCAATCTGAAGCAAGCTAGACATTCTGAGTACATTTCTAAAATACCTTATTGCTTACATAAAATAAACTTAAATCCTTTAGCCTAGCGATTGCTTTCAGACATCCGATTGTTTATGCTTAAAGAACTGTCACATCAGCCATTCAGAACCGACCGGCTTCTCACTTCGATAGCTCCACAAGTTTCCTTTGAATATCCGCTTCCTGCCTCCCATTGGAAACTACACACTCATCTTCATTGTCTCTTGTATTTATCTTAATATGCTGCGTTTTGTTTTATTGGAGGAAAATCTTAGCAGAGCTGTTTGTGGCAGGATTTAGTTACAGGAAACCCAAAAGCTCAGCCTCAGTTTCAGCGGAGACAATTAGGTTGTTGACTTTGGTCGGCGCTCAGGACTTCTATTGGACCCAAATGCCTTTCAAGTGGCTCTCTGAGTTGATGCCCAAGTCTGAAAATTTTCAGGATTCCTGCTACAGATACAGGGCTTTGTTTCCTTTTCATTTGAGGGATGATTCTAACCCGACCCGACCGTTTGCCAAAATGCCTCTCCCTTCACTGAGTAAATAAAATACATAAATAGGAAATAATATAAAGAAAGGAAATCACACATTTCCCACAACTTTCCTTGCTTTTAGGCTTTTTTTTTTTTTTTTTTCTTGTGTGTCTTGGTATCTGTGAATTGTTGAGGACTGTGAGTTTTTCTGCAAGCAATTTTGTCAGGCATAAAAAGTACTAAGTAACGTCTCTAATGGCCAGTTCAGTTGCTGCTTTCAACTGTCTGGTAAGGGTATTTAGCAGCTCATGTTACCATTTCATCTGCTGTAGGTAAAGGATGCTAAAAAACACATGATACTATTTAAAAGCGATAGGTATGATTATATAACGCAGGAAGATATTTATGGAAAGGTTTGAAGAAATTACTTAATATAAAAAGCAACTTTCTTAAACGCTGTTTTAATCCACTAGTGTGGAGGTTCTACGGCAAAGTTATCAGAGTGAACTGCCACTCTTGGATGGGTTTTTTACTGCGGGGTGGATTGTGCTCTGAAACCTTCTTATGGATGCTCTGGGAGAATTTCAGCACTGTCTGGAAAGGATTTCACTCTGCGTTACCGCTCCATGGCCTGGAGCCCTTGGCTGCTCTTTGTTCCCGCAGCGCATCCAGCCCGGGACGGGGCAGGATAACCCACCCCGGCGCTGCAGACAGCCTCGGCTGCTGCGCATCCCGGCACCCTGCTCTGGTCACAGTGCAAGGAGGCTTGGAGCTTGCACCGAGCGGGGTGTCCGTCACAGCGGGTTTTCTGCAGCTGTGGAGTGGGGAGTGTTGGATTCGGCCGGGTTCATTTTGGTGCTAAATTCTATAGGGTTTCTGTGCAAGAGAGACGTAGGGTCCGTGTAGCGCATCCTCACCAGGCCCTCAATGCCCTGGGGATTTGCATCGACTCGCTGTCCACATGTGGAGTCTTTTAATTAGCTATCTCCAAACAATCCAGAATGCAGGACACTACTGCAATGCAGCTTGTTAAGCAATAATGCATTTTTTCTTCCAAAAGTCACACTCGAAAACAGACAATAGTCATAGGCAGAAGAGGACTGCGGATACTATGAGCTAATGTCTACTTGTCAGGAACTTTTCCGTTAAGGCTTGAAGTGATGTTTAACATATTCTTCCTGTGATTGAGCTAAACTAAACATAGCATTAAACATGGATTTCCCAATGAATGTTAGTGTGCTTTACTTTTACATGCGCGTGTTTGTGAGAACAGACTTAGTAGTTATGCATTTGGGATATCAAAAGCATCTCAATATCACAGATTGTTGTATTCTCAGTATATGATGGTTTTGGCATCACTTTTCTAATGAAGCCTGTCCTTTATCTTGCCTGGCTGTAAAAGCAGATTCAAAACAAAGTTCTTCAAACAAACATGAAATGCCAAATTACACATTTTCTCCTATTAAACAATGCAGAATGACTGAAAATGTAGGTTTTCTAAATTGTCTAGGGGAAAAAAAATGCTGCTGACAATGAGCACCAAACAGTATGTACCAAATATTCTTGCATGGGAAAATCAAATGCTCTAGAATATAGCAAACACTTGAACAACTTATCCAATCCTGTACCAGTGACAGGTTTAAAACAAGCTCCATTTTAACCGTTTGCACTTTGGTTTTGACATTAAGGATTTCGGAGTAGATATACTTACATTTAGCTTTCAGGAAAGGGCAGAAGAAGGACAGTTTGCTTGCTTTTCACTTTGAGAGGCCTGGATTTCCTATTTGCCTTAGTCCTTTGGATATTGCCTTGATCTTCAGCTTGCCCCTAGAGGGAGAGGGGAAAAAAAAGAGATTATAACAAATGCATGGGCACACTGTTGGAATTATCCTATTTTGCAGAAATATTACAGAATATTAGCCAAGGTTTTCAGATATAAGTGGCTTAACTTGGTCTCTTAATTCTGTATTCAGACTCCTTGTTCAAAGTCTGCTGCCCAGCAGTGTGAACCTGGCAGCTCGTCCCCTTGAAGGGGCCTTCTCTGGTGGGCAATGCTCGTGAAAACTCATGCAGCAGTTTGAAGTGGGACTAAAGATATGGTGGTGAGGTGCTTTGGTTCGGGAATCCAGACACAGTGGGACTCTGTATCAAAAGCTGTGCTTTCATTTCCAGAGAGGCCCTCTGAGTCTTGTCCCTGCCACTTCGGCAGAGGTGCTGTGGGCCCCTCTCCAAACAGCAGCTGCAGGATGGGAGGTTTGAGAAGCAGCTAAGAAGCCTCTGCTCCCTCTCATGTTTCTTCACACAAGCCTCTTTTTGCCACGAGAAGCCTGGTTTGGCTTGTGACTCTGTGGGGCTGTCCCAGGCAYCCGGGCTCAGGCCAGCACTGGCTCTGCATGACCCTGCTCCCYGTCATGGCCACTGACCAGGTCAACCTTAGAGAGGACATTTGGGCTGGGAGGAAAGCTGGAAAGAAATATTATCCTCACGTCCCTGTGAGGACACCACAGGAAAAAACTTGAGGGAAGGAAAACAAGAAGGAAGAAGGTGAGTGGTTCCGTGTTATTTTTAAAGGGAATGCAGGCTATGTGTTACAAACAGCCAAGSGAAAAAGTGAGAGAGAAAAACAATTTCACATCCCATTATCAAGGGATAGGAGATACTGCCCAAGCACTGCAGATTATTTGTAATTGGTTTCATCCAATTCATCTCAGTTGGATAAAGAAATGTGTGTTTGGCGTCTTTCCTGTGCGGCCTCTATAGCCTGGAGAACAGAAATTGCCAGTGCCTCATCCGCCGTCTCATTGCTGTTTGCTTCCCAGCCTCAAGAAGAGCAGCTTTTCATGGTTTGCCCTGCCGGGCAAACGTCCTCTCCTTTAAACTCAGTAGCTCAGATCACATCTAGGCACTTTGAGCACTCTCGGAGGTGACTCCGGGCCCCAAAGCTCAGTTCTGGATGCAAACTTCTCTGCAGCTCGCGTGGGTTTGGGGTTTGGGCTCAGCCTCTTCTGTGAGGGAAGGAAAAGTCCCCAATTCRGAGCTTGCTTTGAATAGGAAGGGGATGTAATGGGACGGCAAGCTGCTCTCCTGTGCTTGGGGAGAGCAGGATTTGATGTTTCTACCATCATGGGTCATTGCTGCCCCGGAGCGGCAGCAGGGCCGTCACAGCTCCCGTTCTGCCCTCGGCTGCAGCCGGGTCGCTCCRAGCCTCTGCCCTGGCCCTGCGCTGGTTCCCATTCCTCCAAAGCCAGGCTGAGCCCTCCCTGGTGGTGCAGAAGGAACAGAAATGTGTGTGGACTCTCAGAGGGGAGAGCAGGGGTTTTACCACGACTTCAATACAGTAAGTTGTGGTGCATTCTCCTCTCTCACACTCAGCGCGCTGCAGGTAGCAGCTGCTGAGGAAAACACTATTTAGTCTATTCGATTCACATGCAAAAAGGCAGAAAATCCCTATATTTACACTCCTAACAAAACCAGCATGGCCTCCTAATTCAGTTCACTAATCAGAAAAATATTAGCTCTATTTTAGGCATGTGCTTAAGTGCCACTGATTCCGTATCTAGCAGAAATGCAAATGACTCCTGTGGAGTGAGGTCTCTGTTGAATTGGATCTACTTAGTAAAATATTTTGATCTGGTTTGGGGAGAAACAAGGAATCTGGTCAGTTGCTGCAAATGCTTATGTAGCAAATTCACTGTGATATTCTTTGGACTGTTTTCTAATAAATTTTTTAGATTTTTGTGAGAGAATTACTGTGGAACAGAAGTCTGGGAGTGGAGAAAAGTCACAGGAATGTGTACACATAATTAGGTCTTTCAGAAGTAGCACACCACATAGGATTTCCTAAACTGTACCAGAAAACGTTGACATCCTGGAACTGCCATTGGCAGTTTCAAATGCCAGCTTTCCAAGCATAATTACCATCCTTGTAAATGGTTCTGTTGAAATTGGGGTTTGCTCTGGACCATCAGTTTGAAATAGTTTTTTGCCACTTATTATTTCCTTTTACAGTATTCCACGAAATGACATCTATGATATTTAAAGTGAAGAAGTAGTAAAGTGAATCAAGTGACCTTGCTTTTTTAAAATGTTTCTTATATTTACAGAACCACAGAATAGTTGGGGTTGGAAGAGAGCTCTGGAGACCATCTGGTCCRACCCACCCTGCTCACACAGGGTGACCTGGACCAGGTCACCCAGGACCACATCATGTTGAGATTTGACCATCTCCAAGGCTCTCCTCTAGACACACACCAAAATATAGGTAGAAGTTATGAAAAATTACTCGTGACAGATGAGTCACATTATTATTTTGTTCTAAGCCATGAGAAAAATGAGACACAAGGGGCAGGAATCAGAACAGATCAAAACCCTTAGTGCTTTATGATCCAAATCCACAACCGYCTATTGAGATGCAAAATGTTCTTTTTTCACATAACGTGTGAAAAAAAAAACGAAGAGGTTTGTACTGCAAATGCTGGCAGCACACAATGTTGCAATTATTCTCAAGATTTTGAGATGCTTGAATCAAAACCAGGACTTTAAGCAATGCTGTGGAAAAAAAGCATTTTTATTTTCCTTTGAAAAAAAAAAAAAAGAAATGACAACTGCTTGTTGAAAGAGAGAGGCAAGTTTCTAGCGGTGATTGATAATAAAACCAGAAACAGGTACTGCCGTGACACCACCTCTCTTTTTACTCTTTTCAAAGATAATAAATACAGACTCATTCAGATCAGACTCCTGTTAGCATTGTTAGATAGATTTCTGGGCTATTAAAAAGAATTTGCACATTCTGCTGTCAGAAAAAAATAGTTCTGATCATCATTCATGGGTGTTTTACTCCTGCAGCAAATGTGGCCAAATTACTCTGGATATTAAACCTTATCTTCCTATTTAGCGGTCAGTAAATGGCATCAGTCACATTGAGGACATTGACGCTTGGTTAGTGCTTGCTCTGAGAATCCAGAAGAAATAATTTCTCTACCTGTTAAAATCAGGTGAAAATGTCTGCAGTTTGGGTTACTGGTAGAAGCAAGTCCCCTGTCTCCTTACGCTCAAGTATTCTTTATTCTCACTCCCTCTCTTTGATCTAATATCCCAACGGTGAGCCCAGGGCAATAAGTATTTTGCATGAGTTCGACAGCCATCTCAAGCCTTGGGAAAGGATCTGCTTGCAGCATCCATTCGAGGCAGGCAGGGCCCTTGGTCAACGTGAATGATAGGATTTCTTCCCTGCATGTGCACCTCGTGGATGCTTCAGTCTGCCAAGCCCTGCTTCAGCAAAGGACTGCACACGTGCTTGGATCTCCCACGTGTTTTGGTCACGGGGCTTTCCTTGCCTGGGGCAGCTTAAGTGCAGCTATTGGTGTGCTGGGAGCTGTGCCCAAGGGCTGGGCTGGAGATGCACTGGGCTTTGCATCCTGCCTGGGAATTGGGTGGTGAGGACCAGCTCTGCTCGGAGGTAACAGCAGGGCTGAGAGCAGATCCTGGATGGACCCACGAACTCCGCTACTCTCCCAGCTGCTTGTAGGAGCCCCGTTCCTGCCCACTCCCGCTTAAAACCTTCTATTTCCTTACGTGGAGGCAAAAGCAATTGCCCACAGAGCTGCACCATGCTGGCCTGGGCTGGTTTCATGCTACTTTTTGATGCTATGCAGCAGAGTTTAAGCACAGAAGCTGAACATATGATTTATGGTGGATCAAGATGGAAGATTAAGGATTAAAATTTCCGAGCTAAATGGGTGGTCTTATGCAGACAATTACCGTAGACTTTATTGAAAGAATTACCTGCCTGAATAATTCGGAAACATCACAAGGCTTTGATTAGCTGCAAGAGTGTTACCATAAGCCAATGAAAGCAAGCTCTCCTTTCTCTCCATCTTTAATTTTCCTCATCATGCCTGAGGAATTTCTCTAACATCTTTACGAGTTCAGTATTCCAGAGGTGCTTCACGGGTACTAAACACATTTCCTATCGCTTTAGTAACTTTGTTCTCTGTGATTGAGCTATCGGAGGTTATCAAGGTGTGATTACAACTTGCTTGCAAATAGATATGCGAGTTCCACTTTGTTTAGCCCGTGAAAACTCGGTGAAACCATTTATGYTCACCTGGTATCACTCAATGTATGGGATACCTGCACTGACCTAAACAGAGATACTGGGTAGCAGCAGGTGATTTCTTCACTGATCCTGGAAGTGTCACAAGCTTTGTCTTCTGATAATAATGACTTCTAAATGTGCTAACCTGCTCAGATTTTTCAGCCAAAGCAATTCCTACAAAATCCCCTACTCCAGAAGAAGTCGGTAGGAGCACACTGAACTGCGATTAAAGAGGGAGCCTCAAAGTGCCAGGAAGATTATACGGAGGTATTCCTGGTCCAGACTGAAGTTTTGCCAGGACTTCAGGATAGAATTAGGTATTACTGTGTGTTCCTCTTTGGTATGTTTCTACACCATAAACTTGGACAGAATTTCAAATTTGCAATGAAATCTAAGCCCTGAAAAGACTACAGAATTTCTTGCTTGAAAATTTTCCTACGAATACACACACAAGGATTTGCAGGTGCCAGCCAGCACTGCTTCTCGGAGAGGTACCTGTAAAAAGAAACRTTGGGTACAAAGGGCATGGTGTAATTTTAGTAGRGTTATTCATGCATACCTCTTAAAAAAGGGRAAAAAAAAAAGAAGGAAWAAAAGCTTTCCAGCTCATTACTGCAGCCAATATCAACAAATCAACTCTATCCATCCTGGATTTTTTTATCATCTTAGTCTCATATTATAAGGAAAAAATGCAGCAAAATGYA